TAACTCGCAATAGGTCTAGCTTGAGCGAATTCGATGTGGGAAACGCCAAGTCGACAAACGCGCCGCACGTCATTGCCCACTCTCTAGCTCTTCCATCGAGCTTAAAGATAGCCAGCGAAACCCGCTAGTGCTCGAGTGAGCTAAGTCCAGAGCTCATGGACATTTTAATCTCACGGATTTAGAGGTTGAGATTTCCACCCTCGTCTCCGGAGAAATATTTGACGTCCGCCCGAAGGGGACGAGGCTTAGCCTCTTCTTGTGGCATGTCACGTAGCGTGTTGGCATAGCCGACGCTAATTGGTTTTAAACTTGGCCCAACAGGGCCGGTATATACTGCAAGAAGGTCTCGACTCAAGCATTGAGCACGTCGGAACCTTGTGCAGCTAGAAAACCCACAAATTCAGGGCCCACGGCCGCGGTTAGCTTATCTAGCGCAACATTTTGAGCCTCATAGAGGGGTGTGGATTGCTCCATCCTCTCAGAGGGTCAGTTGTAATGACTCAGGCGTAGATTGACTACAAGTGCTACCAAGTGTAGCGGAGCTACACAGCTCCTTAAGTCAGAGGAAGACTTAACACTCTTACGAGAAACTTAGGTTCGAGAACCCGACTCAGATAGTCAACAAGATCAGAGCTAACGGTCCCCGTTCCAGGGGGACTAAACGATTCAAAAGAATCAACGCAGAAAGTGTAAGAGGGGTAGCTGCCTTAACGAGCAGTTGCTAGTCTCTTCTACGATCACATGACGCCTCAGAGAGGCACGGGTATTTCGAATCAAAATGGGAAATGAACTTCATTTCGTCACTTAACCTAAAATAACACCTTTGAACAATGTAATAAATTTACTCGCTCATGTCCTAATTAAAACCTCTCAGAAAATCTCTTACTCCATCGTTGACCGACATCTGTCTTCAACAATTGAGACTGTGTTCTAATATCACTTTGAAGGGATCCCATCCATTGTGTGCGCCACACCCATCGTCGACTACCAGCCGACGTGTAACCCCGTTACAGTTCAAGCATCGGTGATCGGCCACATGCAATGCCATTCGTTGAGCCAATCGGCTTGTTGTTGATACGAAATGTAGCTTCAGGAACTGTGCGCTACGGCAAAAATGACGATGACGGCATTGCCTCTAGTGTTCCGCTGATACGAGTCACGATCGAGCATACGCTTAATTTATCAGAAATAGAGTCGTTGCGCGCCAAGCGCGGAGTTTTATTGGCACGAATTGGTGGGTGCACTATGTATGTGCAAAGATATAAACATGGTGATGAGATCGGGAACGATGGATGCAAGATTCCACGAACTTCCTTGCTGACCTCGAAACGGAATCCTATGCGCTTGCAAATTTTGCTGATCAAAGGTTTGAGGGGACGATATCACTACGGAGGTGTTGATGAGTGACTTCAGCAATGAACCGAGCCTGACCCATGATTCGCTACGTCGTGGTGTTTGCAAGACGAAGTGCGAATGCGCTTTGTCCTGCAGCTGGAAGCAGCTGCATCTGGGCAAACCGCGTTAGCAAGGACAGACCCCGGGCTAGAGACGTCAATTTTCGTAGTAGTCGAAGTCAATAATATGTGTCATACCGGCAACAAACGGTCGCGCTATCAGCACAAGACATCGCCGCAACGAGTGTTCATCTGTGTCTGCGATCCTGTGTATACTGCCGTCACAAGTCTAGTTCTCACACCAATTAATCAATCGATCTGCTTTGTAAACCTTTGCAAACGCTTTTCCCGCATCTCACCGGGCATGTAGCTAATGCAAACAGGGTTTCTCTGCAGCGGCACACGTAGTAGCTGCAGGAAACAGTTAACTTAATTGTTACTAACGTCAGACAGCACATCTACATCACTTGATGTGCTTCCAGCTCGAGGATCCTTGATCGGCAGGTGCTCGTTCCACGAGACAAGACTTGCGCGCTCTTTTGTATGTTGATTGGTCTCAATGCCACCTTGCTCTTCTTTTGCTAAAAACATGGCGCTCGTGTCCATACCGGCGCCATTTGCCTCGTGTTGGGTATTCTGTCGTGTCAACATAATCAGGATGAAAGCACAATCTTCATGCGACCATCCTGATACCCCTTTGTCATCGCTACGCCAATATCGCGCATACCACGACACTGTATTTCATGGTACTGTCGTGCCCAGAGAAAAAGACACTTTCCAGCAAACAGCATTAGGATGAGAAATGAAGCGACTTTCTTTTATTTACCACTTATTGCGCGGATACAGCTGGAGAGCGGCTTACTTGGAGGACGAAGCAAGCATTTTGCAGTGAGCCAAGTATTCTTTCATGATTTTGTTTACGATTACTACGTCACCTATCGCTTCGTTACTTTGTGCTTCCTCCATGAGTACACGTTGAACGTCCCAAAATTTACCTTCAGATAAATCCAGCCACTGGTTGAACTGTGCATTTTCAAGACTCAGCGCGATGTAAAATGATTTCGGCTTTGCCAGTTCAATTGCAGTTGCAACCTCTGTCTTACCCCACTCATTTCCAAGCATAGTGACTACGTCTTGTAAAACTTCAGTCGAGTCGATTTGAGACAAAGCGGAGAGTTTGTGCTCCACCAGCGGCGCTATGTCGAGCCTCGAGATGTGTGAGGCCAACGCCTTCTGTCGCATCTGTTTAAGCACCTCGTCTGAAAATTCTTGATGCTGGCTTTCCCCTGCATCGAGCCAGTTGCGGAGGTACATCAGTAAATCGTCACTTGGCCCGTGAACGCTTTCCGGTTCTTGCTTAAATAGATGAGCGAGACGGCCCCCTGCTTTTATCACAGCTGCGTTACTCTTGAGCCGTTCGGGCAGAGCCCCAACGTACTTGGCGTCGATGCCCGTTCTCTCCTCGTGCTTGCCATCATCAAGAGAACGAGTCCTCGGCCGGTCGTTTGTGGCGTTGTTTTCGAGTCTATGATCGCCAAGTGTCGCGACCTCTGGACTGCTCAGACCCGGAGCGAGATCGGCCGCGAAGAGCAACGCGACACTCAAGAAGAGTGCATAGGAATGGGAGAACGTCATTGCTCAAGCCCGAGGATGGCTGAAGAGGGACCAGCGCACTCGAACGCAAATCCGGAAGTGATTGATGTGGGCGACCGAATGAGTGGTCCGTGTGCAACGGGTCTGAAAGCGATTGATGTTGGCAGCAGAATGAGTGGTCCGTGCGCAACGGGTCAGCCCATCACACGACATTGACACCAAATTAGGTCAATGGGAGTACTGTTTTCATTCACACATGTCACTACTATTTACCGCTCGAAGTAAATATAAACGGGATTTTACCGCCAAAGACGATAGTCGGCGCCGCGCCACTCGTTGGTTGATACAATTGATTGTATATTCCAACTACTCCACCAATCGCTACAAGGTGCGCGAAATAGGTGGAGGGCGAGTTGCTACATCACGTAATTGTACGCTCTTCTAGTGTGAAGAAGATCAGAGATATTTTATTTCGAAGGCTTTGACTATAGGTTGAATACGATACGACTTTACCCGTTTACCGAGCACCTTTTGTGACGGGATGTACGTCGGTTAAGAATAGATTCATTTGTGTGGGATAAACACACCACAGAGAATATCCCCTCGATATTATAACCGACCAGACCGTATCCGTTTATGGAGGCTAACGAGTGTCAGCTACCGGATTGGAAATCCTCGAATAGCACTCATTTAGGGCTGTGAGGTCTAGATTAAATGGACTGGAGATTGTGTTCTTTTTAGGAGATTTATAGGTACACACCCATTCTTTGATACGTACCCCCGTTGAAATAGAGACCCCTCCTTAAGTACCGTAACCTACCTAACTACGTACTGCACAGTGGTGGATAAAAAAGCCATATAAATATGGAGATTTATGGGCACACACCCACCCTTCGATGCGTACACACCCACCTAAAATAGAGGCCCTTACATAAGCATCGTAACCTTCCTAACTAGGCACCGAGCACTTTTGCATACAAAATGCAAGATAAATATTCTTTGCTTTATACACACCCCTCCGTATTACGGGCCTCTTATGTATCAGCACACATCCTTGCGTATATCTTCTTCCACTCTCATTATCCGGCACACCCCCTATAAGTACCCTAATACTACTATTTCCCCTATTTCAAACAGCGTCCAGAACAACGGCAACAACGCCTGAGATGCGGGTAGCAATTCAGCCGAACGGCCGCATTAGCTCCCGCGACTGGAAGCAAAGAGGCGCAGCATGTTACCTGCGCGGTGATCTGCTCGTTGTCGTGCCCGCCATCTGTCTCGTTGTGGTGCTGTACGAGTTCCTCTATTCACAAGAGTACACTGCCTGCACGACCACAGGACACCGTCTCGTTGCTGAGTAGAGCGGCGTTTGCGCACGGACGACAACGCAGCAGCTGTCACTTCTCTATCGCAGCCACTTGAAGCTGCTCGGTCGATTGTGGCCAATGGACGTCGCACGATCGTTTTGGTGGCCAATTACCGCGACTCACTCGACCAAGTAAGCAGGAACCACATATACACAATGGGATGCTTGTGTCTGATTGAATTCGACTTCCGGATAATTATTTGCTGACTTTTTGTGGATGTGGAATGCGTCGTTGACCTGCTCAGGTGCCCGGAGTCGCTGCGGTCGATCGTTGACAATGCAGCAGCAGCGCCGGCCAATCGCAAGAATAGCATTTATGGTCAGATTTATCCTGCAAGGAACGAGCGCTCGTGCGCCGACGTATTTTGTGAGCTCGTTGGGGAAGACGACTGTCACCGCGCACAACTTGTGTCGTCTCAGATCGACGCTGTTAACGCGACAGTAGGTCATTGACGAGGTGTCTGATAGTTTTACTTTGGGGGCGTCTGTTGACTCACTCGCTGCTGCTGATGGGTTTTTGTTTGATCGGATGCGGTGCAGGGACCCACTGTTGCGCGGTACAAGGCGGAAAATGTATCTCTTGACCCACCAGCAGCGCCTTTTCGTCATCACAATCAGTCCTATCTCTCTTTGCCAATCCCCTCCCAATGTTCCGGCAAGTGGCTCGCACCCACGTCGCTCGACTTGAGCGACGAACCACAATCACCCATCACTTGTGTACGTACAGCACACGTGGCCCGTCCGCGCGATGGTTTGTGGGGGGAGAGATAAACACTGCTAGAATGCACTTGATGTGCACGTGAACAATGGGCGGGGCGACGTCGTCGCATTGCACTACGACTGCCCACTAACCGGTACCAAGACGACAAGGACGTACAGTCAGCTCCTACAAGAAGGTCATCGTTTTCCCTGTGTCCAAAGCGTTCGATCGATTGGTCGATCTACATGTACCGTCGATACAAACGATGTTGACTCGGGCCGATCTGACGTACTATGTTTGTTCGTTACTTGTAGTGTCCACGTTTGCTGGTGGACTGCAAAAGCTTGGCGTCGAGAAAGGTGGCCGTGTTGTCATCTACATGCCGGCAGTTCTCGAGGCAACAGTGGCAATGCTCGCGTGCGCGCGTCTTGGAGCTGTTCACTCGGTCGTGTTTGGCGGGTTTGCTACCTTGGAGCTTGCTGCGCGGATCGAAGACGCAAGTCCTAAGCTGATTATCTCGGCGAGTTGTGGTGTCTAGCATAAGGGGATTGTCGACTACGGACCGCTGCTGAATGGAGTGCTGAAGCGATCGACGTGGAAACCGAGTCACGTTGTCATGCTACAGCGCGATCTGTGTCTGTTCGAGATGGCAAAGGGACGTGATATCGACTGGAGAGACGCCATGGCGACGGGACGTCCCATCGACGCAAGACCGGTGCTTGCGACGGATCCGCTCTACTTGCTGTACACGTCAGGCACAACCGGCCATCCAAAGGGTGTGGTGCGTGATAATGGCGGCCACGCAGTTGCACTCAAATGGGCCATGCGCAATGTTCTCGACATCGCACCGGATGATACGTTCTTTGCCGCTTCGGATATGGGCTGGACGGTTGGTCACTCGCTCGGTGTCTATGGCCCTCTTATACATGGATGCACGGTAGGATCATCCTGTGTATCGGCTTGACCAGTGCTTGCACGTTATTGACTCGTGATCTGTTTTTTGCAGTCGATTCTGTACGCAGGCAAAACAGTTAGAACGCCTAACGCGAGTGCGTATTGGCGTTTGATCACGGAATACGGCATCAAGTCGATGTTCACGGCACCTACTGCGTTGCGAGCGATTCGTAGAGAAGATCCAGAAGGGTTGCTGATCAAGCACCTGAGAGAGGACATCCGAAAGACGTTGAAGTAAGTGGCGCACTTCGATGATGGACGTCATTCAATTGAAGACCAACATGTCATCGATTGCTGTGTGCACAACGATCTTCGTGGCAGGGGAGCGCGGTGACCCCAAGACCTTCAGCTTTTTCTCACAGCAGCTTGGCGTGCCTCTCATTGACCACTGGTATGTTGTCATCTTGTGACATGTCCTGTGTACGATCTTCACGCTTGTACGGGTAATGTCCAGGTGGCAAACGGAAACGGGATGGCCCATCACTGCGCCGTGTCTTGGGATGCAAAATGATGACAAAAGCGAATAAGGGTACCCACGCATCAAAGAGGGTTCGGTTGGTAGGCCAGTGCCGGGGTGGGATGTCCGGCTACTAACAGTCGCCAGTGAAATAAATGACGACGAGCATCGCGACTACAGCGACAGCAATGCGAAACAAGATGCTGAGCTTGTGGTTAAACTGCCTCTTCCTCCAGGCAAGACCTTACAAGTGTGAACGAGGCTGCGAGTGCCTCTTACGTGAATGTTCTCTCTTCTGCTCAGGTGCTTTGATTGCCTTGCACAACAACCCAGACGATTTCGACGCCAAGTATTTCAAGCGATTCCCCGGCTACTACCACACTGGAGATACTGGGCGCATTGATGAAGAAGGTTTTGTCTACGTAAATGAACTGCATGAGCTACTCTGCGCCCGTTGCATTCTGTACTCACCGTAAACGAATCGTGGGTGCTAACTTATTGCCAGGTCATGCCACGAACGGATGACGTCATAAACGTTGCAGGACATCGTATCACTACGGGATCGATTGAGAAAGTCATCATCGAGATCCCGGAAGTTGTCGAGTGTGCCGTGGTGCGTGCGAGTGATAGTTGAATGCAACAAGTCGTGCTTGTTGTAATTCGATTATTTTCTTTTCGGATGCAGTTTGGCGTCGTCGATACGCTCAAGGGACACGTCCCGCTCGCTCTTTTGGTAATTGATGAGAGGACCGATCGATCCAACGAAGAGGCACGTGCTTCTACGAAATGCTGCTATTCGAGCGACACATGTTGCAGTTAACGTATCTGATCCTCGCTATGCGTTTATTGCTTGACTGCAGATCATTCAGCAGGTAATAAGCGACGTGCGTGAGCAGATGGGCAGCTTCGTGTGCCTGAAAAGTGTCGGCCTAGTCGACGCGCTTCCAAAAACAAGGTCTGGTAAGGTCATGCGCGCTACTATGCAAGCTATTGCTGACTCGACTCCGTTTCGCGTACCGGCTACCATCGACCATTTTGCGGCACTGGACGGTATTTGCTCGGTACTCGAAAAGCTAGGCTACGCTTCGTCGAATTCTGTCATTACAGGCAAGTAGGATTGTGTGAGAGTGTACGCACTTGGACATGCAGGAGTGATCGAGCGCAAATGCGCTTCGGTGTACTCTACATCGTCATTATGCTTGCGGCAGAAGTTCTTCGAGTCGTAGTCCAAACGGTGATTTCGATCTGATGTCACCGCAGAGCAAGTGATCAAAAAAGGTCGACCGTTCTGGTTGTTTGTTTAGAAAAGGACTAGTTAGCAGACATTCGCTCAAGGATCCTCATTGTGGACCGTATGTGATGGATGAAAGATGACACAGCACAGCGTCGAGGAAGCGATTTGATGCTAGAGCACAGAGGAAGTAAGGAACTAATGTTTTGGTAGAAATGCATATGTGAAGCTGCCCCCCTTTTCAGTTTGCATTTTCGGGCGACTCAATTTGCCGCTAGTGGTTTAGGAGCGATTATGTACAGCACGTTCAGCGAACAAATGTTCTACCGCGAGACTAGTCCTGGTCATGCGGCGAGCTTTTAGTACAATCTGAACCAGCTTTGCCGGAGACTGTGTTTGAGACACTGGAGAAACGGCTTCTTTTCCTGATTTCCAACTGTGCAAACATATTTTGACCAGACATAGTGGCATGTACCTTCCTGTAGCGTCTGTGCAATTCTGGCAAAAAAAGTAATCGATGATGGCTGCGCACGTTCTACTTGGGTACAAGGCCCGTACACAGCAGTCTGTGGCCGATGTCTAGTGAGCCATTGATCAAAGTGATGCGAGTACAAGATACGTGCATGATGATTTACGAAATGTCGAAACGATCTCACAAGATGTAGAGCAAGCCTGATCAGCGGCAATCGCCAGGCTGCTTGCTTAGTCGATCTGATTCGGCAAAGTCTGTATCAGAGTACTAAGAGCAACGATACATTGGCCGGCAACACGCGATGGCTGCGGCTGCGCATGATCAAATGGGCGGTCATCTCGCCATATCAAGCTATGCAAGGAAGTATGACACAACGCGACGCGGGCCTGTTCATGCCGAGACGGTGTACAGATGATCCACTCAACGCGCTTGTCGTGACTACTGGGCAAGTCTGTAAGGCTTTAGGTCATTACAAACATACTCAGTGTTTCGCTATCCTTTCCCTCGCGACTCCTTGTGAATGTCCCCTTAGCCCAAGACTTTTTGTCTTGCTCAAATGGTCAAAAACAAGACCAAGGAGAAGAGCCAGTCTTGGGATACGTGCATACATTTACCAACTTGTGTACTTTCACACAAGGATACATCCGACAAATCGATCGCATTTCTTGCAACAAAACAAGAGGCCGTCATTGACTGCGATAAATGTGGACACAAGCTGAACGAGAATCATCACTCGTTGTCTTAAGCGATTACGTACTATACCGTAATCGCCGAGATGAGATTACTGGTGTCCGACGACCAATATTGCCGTAGCAATGATCACTCCACTGAATCGTCGCAGCGACAATCATGCAACACATCGTACACTCCACACTCTGTCACGCGTCCAGCTTGAGTTCGGAATACGGTTCAGCCAACGTGGTTGATTGCCTTTGATCCTCTTTGATGAAATACTGGGTAGCAGCGTTGGGTCGCGATGCGCGCTAATGCATTCCAGCAATGTATCAGTGACAAAACGCGTTTGTCGGACTGCTACAAACTCGTTGCATACGTATATGTTCACGCACTTGTACAGTCGGAGAAGGTGACGCAAGTACAGTTAAGGGCTACATCATTGTAGTGATGCTCAATCACTCGCTCACCAGAAGTTCATCCCATGCGCCGTGCCAAAAACATGCAATCGCACGCGGATTGGTGTGACAAAAGAGCTGAGTGCTGTATTTTCTTAGCGGGTTGTTTCTACATTCGCTGGACATGTCGGCAATATCGACACATGCAGTGTCTGTGTATGCCTTTCCTATGCCCGTCCGTCGTCGATAAAAACATGGCAACATTCTGATCGAATGCTGCAGCGCTATCGGTTGCATCCGCCTGGATGCATGCCTTCAGACGGCAGTAGATGGCAAGTATGGAGGACGAGAATGTACGAAGTATACTCCCATCCTGGTGCACACAAGACCCGCTGAGAGGGCACCAAAGAGAACATCCGTGATGCGTGCTTTCCGCTATGAGTCTGCCACCGCCCATTGTCCAACGTTGTCGCCGCCATATGTATCGGTTTAGATTGTGTACATGTATTGCCAAACCCACTATTTGTACGTCCGTTGATGTTAGCAAACGCCGCGTACCCTGCCCGTGATTATATTGCTAGATTGACGCTTTGAGTGCAACGATGGACAAAAGTGGTGCGAAACAGGACCCTTGCCGGGTGCTGTGGTGTGTGTGAGCGAGCCGATCGTTTTCGCGATCGTGAGCTGTTGTCGATGAATTGGCAGGTCTTCTCCCAATGTTTTATGCCGCCATCGCCACCATCAAGACGATGGCATGCGTGAGAGACCAATTTATCTGCGCACCGAGGGCAGCTGCGGGCACGTTATGTACGATATCTTGCCCGTGTGTACTGTATAATATGCGGGTCACGTTGAGCTTACAGACATATATCAAGCAAGAGCCCAGCAACGAAGCATACTCCGGGTCCGTATTTGGGGTTACTGATTTGCCCCCAAAGGACGACATGCCATTTCCGCGAGGTGTGGCTCCCACTTCCATATATGATAATTGCTATAAGAGCTTATCACCAAATAATGTGAATGTAGCAATAGTTCTCCTCAGCTACAGCTCAGTTGCTGGCTATGCTGTCTAGCTCATCGCAAGTCAGTACCTTTACCATGAACGTAAATACAGCGTGCTGGAGATGCAAGGTCAAGAAACGAGGCGCAAGCTCCTGCAGCACAATGGGTTGGAGACTTCGTACTGCAGTATAACTGGGAACAGCTCGGAAGAAAGTAAGTTTCCGCATCGGTGATATGCGGTGCCATTTGTTGAGCTAATCGGCTTGTTGTCGATACGAAACGTAGGTTCAGCAAACTGTGCGCTACGACGATGACAATGGCGGCATTACTCCTAGTGTTCCGCTGATACGAGTCACGATCGAGCATACGCTTAATTTATCAGAAATAGAGTCGTTGCGCGCCAAGCGCGGAGTTTTATTGGCACGAATTGGTGGGTGCACTATGTATGTGCAAAGATATAAACATGGTGATGAGATCGGGAACGATGGATGCAAGATTCCACGAACTTCCTTGCTGACCTCGAAACGGAATCCTATGCGCTTGCAAATTTTGCCGATCAAATGTTCGAGGGGACGATATCACTACGGAGGTGTTGATGAGTGACTTCAGCAATGAACCGAGCCTGACCCATGATTCGCTACGTCGTGGTGTTTGCAAGACGAAGTGCGAATGCGCTTTGTCCTGCAGCTGGAAGCAGCTGCATCTGGGCAAACCGCGTTAGCAAGGACAGACCCCGGGCTAGAGACGTCAATTTTCGTAGTAGTCGAAGTCAATAATATGTGTCATACCGGCAACAAACGGTCGCGCTATCAGCACAAGACATCGCCGCAACGAGTGTTCATCTGTGTCTGCGATCCTGTGTATACTGCCGTCACAAGTCTAGTTCTCACACCAATTAATCAATCGATCTGCTTTGTAAACCTTTGCAAACGCTTTTCCCGCATCTCACCGGGCATGTAGCTAATGCAAACAGGGTTTCTCTGCAGCGGCACACGTAGTAGCTGCAGGAAACAGTTAACTTAATTGTTACTAACGTCAGACAGCACATCTACATCACTTGATGTGCTTCCAGCTCGAGGATCCTTGATCGGCAGGTGCTCGTTCCACGAGACAAGACTTGCGCGCTCTTTTGTATGTTGATTGGTCTCAATGCCACCTTGCTCTTCTTTTGCTAAAAACATGGCGCTCGTGTCCATACCGGCGCCATTTGCCTCGTGTTGGGTATTCTGTCGTGTCAACATAATCAGGATGAAAGCACAATCTTCATGCGACCATCCTGATACCCCTTTGTCATCGCTACGCCAATATCGCGCATACCACGACACTGTATTTCATGGTACTGTCGTGCCCAGAGAAAAAGACACTTTCCAGCAAACAGCATTAGGATGAGAAATGAAGCGACTTTCTTTTATTTACCACTTATTGCGCGGATACAGCTGGAGAGCGGCTTACTTGGAGGACGAAGCAAGCATTTTGCAGTGAGCCAAGTATTCTTTCATGATTTTGTTTACGATTACTACGTCACCTATCGCTTCGTTACTTTGTGCTTCCTCCATGAGTACACGTTGAACGTCCCAAAATTTACCTTCAGATAAATCCAGCCACTGGTTGAACTGTGCATTTTCAAGACTCAGCGCGATGTAAAATGATTTCGGCTTTGCCAGTTCAATTGCAATTGCAACCTCTGTCTTACCCCACTCATTTCCAAGCATAGTGACTACGTCTTGTAAAACTTCAGTCGAGTCGATTCGAGACAAAGCGGAGAGTTTGTGCTCCACCAGCGGCGCTATGTCGAGCCTCGAGATGTGTGAGGCCAACGCCTTCTGTCGCATCTGTTTAAGCACCTCGTCTGAAAATTCTTGATGCTGGCTTTCCCCTGCATCGAGCCAGTTGCGGAGGTACATCAGTAAATCGTCACTTGGCCCGTGAACGCTTTCCGGTTCTTGCTTAAATAGATGAGCGAGACGGCCCCCTGCTTTTATCACAGCTGCGTTACTCTTGAGCCGTTCGAGCAGAGCCCCAACGTACTTGGCGTCGATGCCCGTTCTCTCCTCGTGCTTGCCATCATCAAGAGAACGAGTCCTCGGCCGGTCGTTTGTGGCGTTGTTTTCGAGTCTATGATCGCCAAGTGTCGCGACCTCTGGACTGCTCAGACCCGGAGCGAGATCGGCCGCGAAGAGCAACGCGACACTCAAGAAGAGTGCATAGGAATGGGAGAACGTCATTGCTCAAGCCCGAGGATGGCTGAAGAGGGACCAGCGCACTCAAACGCAAATCCGGAAGTGATTGATGTGGGCGACCGAATGAGTGGTCCGTGTGCAACGGGTCTGAAAGCGATTG